TTAAATCACAAACTGAAAAACATCATTAAAACTTGATACATTCAAGAAACAAGGTTATGTTAGAGCATCATCAACATATGACGATATTGTAGAACATATAATGTACCGTACATGTACCTACTGAGTACAGAGTTAATTGCCTTAATGAGATGGAATTAAAATAATTTTCCATGACATTCCAGCCAATATATCAGCTTGTCCTATCTAGGGGGTGCTACTTCCAAGTAAGTATATTGGTTTCCTGTCTCGAGGGGCTACCAATTTGAGCAGACGTGTCACTTGCCATACTCAAGGAGTTACAAGCAAGTAGGTAACCACACCCAACTAATTTGACCCTGATTCAGAAAACAAGGGAAATTTTGTGCAAACCTGATGAACATAAACCTCATTTCACCTCCACCACACCAGGCCTCGGTGTCCAGAGTGCCCTCCCCCATGTGGAGCTTCCCTGTTCTGTGAAGTATCACCTTTTCTTTGGCACGTGAGCTTTCCAACATATTTGGCCCAACATTGTCCATTCCTTCAACTCCTCCGTTTAATGACACTCAACAGGGATGGCCCCAGCAGGAGGGGGAACATAAATAGTACATGCCTCTATCATAAATTACTGGTCCCTTTTATAAATTTCACTTTTTTCTTGGTTTTTTCTTGAAGTTGAACAGTTGGCGGTAGATAACCTGGTTGCAAAGAAGGACCCTGCTGTTTTTTGGTCGTTTTTTTTCCCCAAAGTGTTGCCAACCTCTGATCCACGTCGTTAATCATACCAGTGAACTCCAAAGCAACAGTGCTCTTTCATTATAGATTTGGGCTTTTTTTTTTCTGTCTCAGGTGTCCGAGAAACCTGATTTCAGCCTCTCAAAAACGAAATCTGTTTTTTGTCTTGTCAATTTTTGTTTGATGAACAGTATACAAATATAACATGGTTTGAGGGTGGACAGTTGATAGCTCCCCGAGGTATTGGAAGTTGCTGAGGGAACTAGTTTGTCAACTTCCAATACCGAGGGGAGCTAATATCAGCTATCCACCCGAAATAAACCATGTTATATTTGTTTTACTAAAATATACCTCATACATATTCAGTTGCCGAATTTTCCTGTTGCAGTATGCACCGCACGGGCATAAATATTCGGAGAAACTTGTCCAGCTCACCAGAAGAATATTATTGCTCAACCTCAGAAAAGCTAAGTTCGTTTCCAAATACAGTAACTCCAAACTTTACTTATATTGCTAATCCACAACAGCAGCAGATATGCACAAGCTCAGTAGTCCCAATATTTTTTTTTCATCGAAGCAACTTGCCCGGGGAGAGTTCCTCTGGGTTTAACATTCCAAAATTGACAATGATAACTATAATCTCTTGAAAGGAAGTAAAGGCTCAATCCACCTAAATGGAGACAGACTTATCTTTACAAAGTACAAGCCTGGTGTAGCTTGTGGTCTGTATTAAAACGCTGACCATATCAGAGAAATGGTCAGACGTCGGAAGTTTCCTCGGGCCAGATCCTCGGGCCAGATCCTGGGTCAGTTTCAGTGCTCTGACAAGTCGGTCACTCCGCAGGGAGAGACTCTATACAGGGTTCCCGGTAATCAGAGAAAACCTTGAAAAGGAGTTTCCATTTTTCCAGTGCGGAAACTCAGGAAATTCGAAAGTGACCCAGAAGGGAAAGGTTTTCGGCAAGTTTGGCGTATGTGCATATTGTGCCATGCGTCCAAGTTGTTCCACTGACTGACTGGCTATGGTGGGTTTTTTTTAGTGTTTATGCAGTGTGAATATTACACACCTCTCCAGCAACATCATGACTCAATATTGCAAAGTTGGTTCTGTGCTGAGTGCAATCATTGCTTTATGCATTGACAGCAATGCATCTTCTACTCTCCCCTCCCCCACCACCCCCTTGAATTTTTTTTTTAAACTTAAACACCCTAGCCACCCTCTTTGGAAACTCCAGCACATCTTACAAAGCGCTGCAATGCATTGCAACCCGACTTACGACATGTAACACGTCGCAACTCACGACGCGTCGTCCGTTTCGCGAAACTTCCTTGACAATGGCTTAAAACATGTCCCAAGTTATGACGTGTCTAGTGGTCATCGCAAATTAAGAAGTGTCCTTTTCTTAGCCAGTTTTATGCCATAAAAATTGCTTAAACAAGACTAAGATACCGAGACAATGTGTGTAAAGTTGTAAATGGAAAATGCATTGAAGTAATTGAATTAGCCTGGAATATCGCTCTTGCAATTTCAAAATAGCTATACAGTCCACCATGAGCTTGTTTTCCTTTAAACCTGCATCACACATCCGCCATTTTGTTTTACGTTTTAAAAACTTTTGGAGAGGAGATCCGACGACTCTTTGTTGAATATCAGAGGACTTTTTATGAGTCACCGTGTTATGCTATAAATACACCTATGATGCGTCACAATTACGACAGGTTTTGTAAAATGAATCGCAGGACGCGTCGGAGCTGCGACGCATCGTAGGGATACGACGCGTCCGATACAGTGCTGCAATGCTGGATCCCCCACTGAACTGTTTGAACGTTATAAATGTGTTCATTTAAAACAGGGTCATCCTTGCCCCTGTTCCAACCCCTAACTGGCAGATCTTACATTAATTGGCACAGGTTAGCATGCAATTGAGAAATATCCCTTCTTTCTTGTCATGGAAAGTTCAGATTGCCCCACCCTAACCATCCCCTCCCTCCCCCACCCTTAAAAAAAAAATGATGTCAGCATCCTTCAGAAAAAAAATAATAAACCTTTCTGGCAATTTTGATTAAGCTGGCTCCTTATTTCCCTACTACGTTCTCTGCTCTTAAGTCTTTCCAGATGATTGGAGTTGCAACTGATATGTTATTGCAATCAGTGTCATTTCAGACAGTCTGCCCAACTTCAAGGAAATACTGTTCGAAATTAGATGCGACAGCACCGATTGAAAAGCTCTTGGTCAGGACTCAATGTCAAACCTGTCTCATGCACTTCTTTTCACTTGTGATATTTCAAAACGTGACACCGTTAGACTGAGTTTAAAATACATTTTCTGCTGTACCTGTATTTATAATGGGCAATAATTCCCAGTTTCCTCCCCTCCCCCCACCACACACAATCTATTTTCTTGCAAACCCATATTGTGTGGAGTTTTGGACTATCAATTATCTGAGATTGCGATGATGGCTTTGTTGCGCATATAAATTGATGCTTTTAATACGAAAGCCATACTAAAGCCCTAGTGTACATCCATACAAATGTGTACAGTTGCATGTTATATCAAACTAGAATGTAGCTCATTTGAATTTTTTCTAAGTTACATGTATCTCGGTGACTTGCAGAGTTGCAGTCATGCACTATTCGGCAGACTTGTATTCGAGTCGCCAAACACTGAGTCCCAATCGAGTATGAGTGGGGTCCGCTCATAAGTCCGACGCCTCATAGGTCCGACGCCTCATAAGTCCGACAAAATCACATCCCCTAACCAAATAAAGGCCCATAAGTCCGACGCCTCAAAGGTCCGACGCCTCATAAGTTCGACAACGGAAAAACGAGGCGTTTAATTTGTCGGACTTATGAGGCGTCGGACTTATGAGGCGTCGGACCTATGAGGCGGAATAAATAAATTTTATGCCTCATAAGTCCGACGCCTCATAAGTCCGAAATTTCGGACTTATGAGGCGTCGGACCTATGGGGCGTCGGACTTATGATATGGCCCAGTATGAGTCACCTCTACCAAGTCCGAGTCTGATTCTAAATAATGAGTCATGCAGGTTGAGTCACGAGTTACAAAGGTCGATTTCAAGTCCGAGTCATGAGCCAACTTTTAATAAGTACTCTACATGTATTGTTTCGGTTTGCGTGAACATGCATGTGGTAATAACTACTGCTTAGAAGATATTTAGTTCTGAAAAGAACTTGTCCTACTTATTATCAACTTTCCCTATGTAGCTTTTGTTCTGATAAGGACAGTCCTGCTTTAAGTTCTAAAAGAACTTGTCTTTGGTCTCAACGTTTCGACTAGCCTGCTCTTGTCATCGGCAGGAGACTGTTGACTCAACATGTATTTTGGAAATGTATAAAATGTATAACATGTATATTAAAACATCAATATTGGAAATAAATTTTGAGCCTCACACACTGTGTATATGTGTGATGCATTTCTTCTGCACCACACTGACTGTATCGCTTGCTCTGGAAAGGTTCGTCTTCAAAAAAATTTGTAATTGTATTGTTGAAAAAATAAGTGATTTGTGGTAATTTTGCTTGAGTCCCGAATCACGCAGGTCGAGTCTCCAAATTGAGTCAATAGTCATATGTCATCATGACTCGAGTCTGAGTCCGAGTCTCAGGAAATGGGACTCGAGTCGGACTCAAGTAAGAGTCCAAGTTATAACTCTGCTATTAGGGACACCCCCTAAAACAAAATTGAACTCAGAAAACCATTAAATTCATGAATATGGAAACTTGAATTGTCATTAAAACCAAAAAAAAACACCAGTGAAACCAAGCGCAGCAATCTGGGGAGGGGGACGTTAACAAACTGACACATGAAACAAAGTAAACGTTTATCTAAACTTTTACATAGGCCGACAGTTTAATTTTTTTAATTTATCTAACACTTCACAAAGGCTGAGCTGCTTGTCTGTGTGTCACTCAAGAGGGAGGCACTGAGCATCGATCTAGGCCCAGCAGAATATTGAACACAACAAACCTATCACTTGTATACAAGTGTACATGTATGTCTTACACAATAGTTGCCAGTCATTGTAAAGAAACCTTTCTTGAGCTGTGATAATGTATTAAGGTGCTTTTGGAGGCATTTAAATAGTTACCCAGGCGTCCGTGATACCTTGCAAAATAAAACTGCAAGGCAGATTGCATTAATATGAGGTCCCATTCTTAAAATGAGGTTCCATTTATATATTTAGGGACAGTCGTGAAGACATTTTGACTTTCATCTTGTGAAGGTCACACCCCTCAAACTGTTTGCTTGTGTGTTCTCTGCAGCATCCCTGCCCGCGGAATTGAGCCATCTCAAGAAGCTGGAGAGTCTCCTGTTGAACAACAACAGGCTGACCTCCCTGCCTTCCTCCTTAGCCAACCTCTCGGCCCTCAAGACCCTCTCCCTCGCCGGCAACAAGCTCCAACGCTTCCCCCTGCAGGTCTGTGCAATCCGGCACCTGGACATGTTGGATCTATCCCAGAATTCCTTGGGGGAGATCCCCGACGGTGTGGGCAGGCTGCAGGCCATTGAGCTCAATGTCAACCAGAATCAGGTGAGTACTACGGTACATGTTGTATGATATCTAACTGCCATGGTACGGATCTTCGTAGTGTTGGACCGGTAGGACACTAGCACAGATCTCGCACTCAAGTCCATCTTGAGTCGCAATTTTGGTGACTTGGACTTGACTGGAGCCAACCTCGTCCCCAAGGTGTCGAGCAGTACGCGCCCACATCTACCTGCTCTCTCACCCTGGTATTGGATCATTTGCATGTGCAAGATTTTTGAACACGAATGCACATTAGGAGTAGTCTGGTGCCTGCCTGTGTGTTACATTTGCGTTTGTTTTTGTATGCGGTGTCTGGGTAAAAACAGAATCAATTCGTCGCAGCGCGAGCATGGCGTGAGTTACGAAAACATGATTTTAATTTAATTAAACTGTTACGATCTTAACGAGACAACATGCAGTATCACATTTCATATTAATATTAACAAACTGGAGAGGAAATGAATACGGTATTTTTCGAGAAGGCGTGGACGAATGATCGCGAAAACACGTACTGCACGTTGTGAATAACAACACCAAGTACACGATATAAATCCATTTCTAGCCAATTGCGGTATCGAATCAGGATGCAGGAAGGAAGTTTCCTATCCAGGGTTTACTATTGGAAACAACGTTGGAAATAAAGTAAGCACTGGGGACGAGGTTGGACTGGAGCGCCATCAGTGAAGAACTTGGACTCGGACTCGAGCATCATGACTGGGACTTTATATTGAAATATATTGAAAATATGGTTCATTCATGCTGACAAGTTGGATGTACACAGTATAAGTAGTGAAATTAGGTTGCAAAGGAAAACAAATCATAAATTAAATTTGGAAGACCTTATTTTAAGACGGATGCAAAGCGTCAGCATAGGGGTCAGGAAAAGCCAAAGGCTTTTTCCCCCTCCCCCTTTCCCATTCCCTATATCACCCTTATTGTGGTTCCATGTACTTACACGTATGCTAGCATTAAACATAAATGTACAAGGTAAAGACAAGTGACTTATTACAAAACAATTAACAATACAATACAATAAAAACAGCCGGAGATCAGACCAGAATAAAGAATTGAATTCATCATCATCATCATCATCATCATCATGGCAACCTCGTTATCAAGGATTTGTCTGCCTCATTTTCCTCCTCCTTTATGTTGGGTACCTTTCCGTTGATGGACTTGGCGGTGACTGTGCAGACCGAGATGAGAACGGAATTACCTTTAAAAAATAAATATTTTGAAGCGGGTAAATGATCAAAAATAGGTAACTGATCAATAATCACCTGATAAAAATTTACTTTTCTATTAGTCATCGGTAGCCTACAACATTTGCCGGAAAGTACTTTTATACTCAGTGGAATTTTGCCACTGTTCACGCTCCCCCATTGTCCAGAAATATACCGCTTATTAAAAAAGAAAAACGATTGTGTATAAAGCAATTATACTTGGAGCCTGAAACTCCACAGACAATTCACACCTGGCCTGGGTTGCTACCTCACAGCCTGGGGACAGACAACATTCCTGTGGTCACTCAAGAGAACTGAGCTGTACTCGGTGGTGAACATGGATAAATATTTGGCTATCATCGTCATTCCCTCTGCTGTCAATCGGCTGTCAAACTCCCTGAATAGGGGTGCTACTTTTCGTGATGGGGACCACTCGTTGAAGAAAAGGGAATGTCCAACCTGGAAAAATTATTGGAATTTTTGGGATATTGAGACATTTTATAATAAGGTAATGAATTGTTCATTGTTCAATATAAGGCCATTGGGATTTTAATGGAAAGGAAGTGGTTACAAAAAAAACCCTGTACCTGCTCTCTGACCAGCAGATATCATACTCATCACCCTGGCACAGTTACAATGTAGTTAGAAAATACAATGTACATTTGTATATGAGTGGCTCTTATTAGGGGGATTAAAGTTTGATGCAGCAGTTTCAAACTTGTATTTTAAGCCAAAGACGTGGGCTCTTTGTTTGTTGTTGATCAAAAGCCATAAAACGTAAAAAAGTTGATACACTTCCAACGATTTTGCTACTGTGGTACTCCATGTTCAGGCAAATATATAGTGTGCGTCACATGCCCAGTGTGCTCAACATCTTATCTGTGGTTCTCAAGCATCCAGTTGTAGCCAGCACGTGTGGTGCATACTGTGCGCATGTGGCGTGGAGCGCAGGGTACTGGGTCTCACGATCGCTGACTGGTGTTTAAACGGCGGTTTTACACCACAAATGTGACGGCTCTCGACCAGTAGGAATGGGTGAACTGTCTCGGCCTCTCTGGTATTCACGAACTACAGTTGAATTAAAATCTAGAATGTGTTGCCATCAGCATGTACTGACAATAAATAACCAAGGCATCAAAGTTCATTACTGGAATTCCGCATTGTATAAAATGGTTTGTGTAGATGGCCGGAAAAATGTGGAAAATGTGAAGCTTGAAAAATAACCAAGCAACGTCAAAGGAACAAATTTGGCCGTGCTCAGATTTGAGGATTTTGACTGCAAGGGTGCCTTATCACCCACGATAAATCAAGTCTTTGGCAAATGCACAATCACATGTATTATATCAGACGAGGACATAAAATATCTAACAGCTCAATAGTGTCTCCAATACTGGGTTATCGGTGGAGTAAAATTGATCGTATATCAGAACTTTCACTTTGCCATTAACCGACACCTGTTTTTCCTCAGCCATAAATGACAGCCAGAGACAGTAGGAAAGAACACAACGCACCCAAAACCTAAGTAACCCAAAACGCTGAATATCACTCTATCAATTACAAATTACCTGAGCTGCATAAACAATGGCAAGCAGAGCTAGTTGCCCTGAACGAAACAGGGAGAATCAAAGCTGTTGTTGGTCAAACACATTACTGTCAAGAAAACTACAGGTGTGCGTGTTGGGAGAGGGGAGCGGCAGGGGTGGGCTGGGCACTTGTACTAGGGAGAAGTCAGGGCAACTTAGGGGAAAATTAGGCCAAATGATGTCAGCGAGCTATTTGATATGAAACACTCCAGATTTTTGCTTGAGAAGGTACAATGCCTAATGGTTTGCATCCAGAGAATTGTTCGGATAATTAGAGGTGTATCTGTGGTTTGCTTTGTCTCGTTTTATGGGGGTTGGGTCATTTGCCCTACAAAACTTATTGAGGTTATTCCTGTAACAACTTGAGGGATCTTTTGTGTCTCAAGTCATATAGGTGGAAGGCTAGTAAAATCACTTTTGATAACAGAGCATTGAAGCAGTTTTGGTTCAAAGCCCTTTATGCTGGTGATTGGTGAGTGGGATAATTAGTTACATGTGTATACGGCTTAGTCAGATTTTCTACATTAACATCGCAACAACGGAAAGTCCACACTCATTGGAGGGGTCATAATTTTGAATCTGATCGTCTTATGATGACGTCATTTATATACACCTTTCAGGGATTTTGTTAGCTACATTTTGATACCCTGTTTGCTACCAAAGACTGGTTTTTGAAAAATGATGCAGTGTGAAAAGTTGCAAATGTAAAGATTACGCGAGCAGAAAGTGCTAAGCGTAACCACACATGCCCGTAATCGGCCCCTGTGGACGGCACAGTGCCCAAACAAAGCGCGGGTAATTAAATTCGCGTGCTCCCATGCATGCAATCACTGTACGATCGGTATTCCCTGCCGTTTGTTTCAGGCAATATGACATTGTCACGTAGCAATATCCGCTCACATACTCTTTAAATTTGCAAATTTTCAAAGTGCATCATTTATCATAAAAATGTTGTCAATCTTGGACGATTTACAGTCTTTGGTAGCAAATGGGGTATTAAATTGTTGCTAACAACATTCCCCAAAGGTCTATATAAATGACGTTATCATAAGACAATCAGATTCAAAATTATGACCCCTCCAATGAGTGTAGACCTTCTTTTTTTTTTGCAGTGTTTATTTTGAAATTTGACTAAGCCACATACATGTAATTAATTATGCAACTAACAAACCACCAGCAGGTTAAGGGGCTTTGAGCCAAAACTGCTTCGGTGTTCTGTTTAAATACCAAAAGTGATTTCACTAGCCTTCTACCTTTATGACTTGAGACACTAAAGATCCCTTAAGTTATTACAATGTACAGGAATAACTTACTAACCCTTAATAATCCTAGCAAAGGTGTGACTGATGTTCTATTTCATTTCGCAGTGTTGCATGCAGGGCAAATGAACCAACCCCCATAAAAAGAGACCAAGCGAAACCACAGATACACGTCTAATTTTCAGAACAATTGTCTGGATGCAAACCATTAGGCATTGTACCTTCTCGAGCAAAATATCTGGAGTGTTTCATATCAAATAGCTCGCTGACATCATTTGGCTTAATTTCCCCTACATGTAAGTTGCCCTCAATTCTCCCTGTACAAGTGCCCAGCCCACCCCTGCCACTCCTCTCTCCCAACAGACGCACCTGTAGTTTTCTTGACAGTAATGTATTTGAAGTTATCATAAGATGATCAGATTCAAAATGATGATAAAATAAGTGTGGACTTTTTGGCGGTGTTTAAATTTATAATGTACATCTAATCATTGCAAAGTTTTGGTGGGTGCTACATTTACCGCATAAAAATTCGAGGCAATATTCATTTCTTTATGTTTTCTTTCCTTCTATAAAAAAAAAAAAAAAACAAGTGGCAACTCCAACAAGCACAACCACATCAATTTTAATTCCAGATCGTGTGACCACAGTCACCTCCCCTTCCCTCCCACTTTGCCTGCCTGTGAGGCTGACCTGACATAAATTTATGCCATGCACGTAATTAACCCAAAGATGATGCCCAGAAGAATTCCTTACACCCCCTTGACAAGAAACAACTTGCACGACACCTTTTTTTTTTATACCCTTTATAATTTACGAGGAGCTTGACCTTTTCTCGCTCCAGGGAGGGATCATCAGCAATGTGCAACTCTCCTCTAAACCTACATTTGTGGACCAATCAATTTATGGACAGTTTGGTTTCAGTTGGATTGCGTTGGATGTCTCTGTATTTTATAAAAGAACACCCTGTGCAGCATCAATCTTGGATTTATGGTTGTTGTGTTATTTTATGTCTGTTTATTACAAATACTTCAACCATTGCTATGTCGTCACACTATTGTTACAAGTGTGGATTCGGAACTACGAATCTGTTACACTGGTCAAAAAGTGTGGATTCAGAACAACGAATCGTTAGCATAAGTGTGGATTCGGAATTACGAATCCACACTTTGAACATGTTGGACAATTTTTCTCCATAATGAGCATTAATAGGACCGTCTGCATGAAAGCTTTCCTTCCGAAAATTACCAATGCATCTTCACTGTCAGATTCTCCGCTGTCACTGCAAAAACTACTTTGAGTCTGAAAGAAATCATCGTCTGAACTATCCATGTTGACGTAAGGAGCCTCGTACACATACTTGGTTGTACGGGTACGGGTGTGGCGATACACATGCTAAATACGCCACAATGATTGATTACGTACAAGAGCCTCGAAAAACTCCCAAGATACGCAAGTCTTTTCATCTCCACTCACTGGCCTGTTAAATACTTCTTTTGATGCAATGGTTTAAGTCGGAGAATACACTCGCAAGTGTGGATTCTTAATTTACGAATCTTAAATTACGAATCCACACTTTCTCGTGTATTCTCCTTAACGGAACTTCTTTGTACACTTAGAAGTGTCAGTGTTTGTCCATACAATTTTTTACTCATTTTTTTTTTATTTGCAGGATTTTCTCCTGATATTGCCATCAGCAAGGAGTTTTTGACTGTATATCTCATTTTAAACTGATTAATTTAAGTGCAGATCTGAGTCAGAGGGATAATAGTTTCCTGGAGGAAACAACAATTTTGCCTTCAATTCACTTCATATTTGTGAGGCGTTCTGGCAAAATGAGAGGGAACTGGGCACGGGCCGCAGTGGAGAAAAATGTGAACAAGCACGAGTGCACAATAAGCTTTGGCCCGGTTCCGGAATGTCTCACTTCATATGCAAAATAGACGTACATACGCATCGATCGAGACAAAGGGGCGTGTTCCAAAAAAATTTTGGCCAAGAGTCATATACTGACGATGGCATTGCATTTGGTCAATTGTTGGTCAGTTGGTAGTTATATGTTATGGGAAAGGGGCCCGTTTTTGGTCAATTTCCCAGGAACAGACCCACCGACCAACCGACCAACCACAAAGTGACATGTAGAAGCTCCTGCAAGAGCTTAAAAACTGAATGCGGGTGATTTTTTTTTTCCATTTTCAGATTTATTGATATAAATTTGTAATCTTTGATATGTCTACTACACATGGTTTAAAGAAAATGTATAAATATTGTGGAATAAAAGTGTTTTCTTAAGGAAAATAATTGCCATCTTTTATTTTCACGAATGCGAAACTTGAAACTTTACAGGTCTTTTTCTCAGTATTATACTTTCTTGACATGTCGATGAATGCAAACTATTATACAGCCATAACTTGTCAACAGAATGTCCAATTGAAGTGCAACAAAAAAAGTATTGTAAGGAGACTTTAATCTCTTTACCTGCAAACCCTCATTTCAACCTCTGCCCCATTCTCATTTTGCCAGAATGCCTCACATTTACAATTTACATTCACAGCAGTACTCGTACAAACAAGTCTTTACCTTTTCAGCAAACATGCAAAGTTTGCAGAAATGGAGAAATTGGTTCTAATTGCATATAAGAGACAATCCAAACTGTTTAAATATGTAATCACAATTTGTAATAGTATCTGCAGGTTTAAATTAAGACTTTAAATACTGAAAAGAGAGGGTATTGGAAGTTGCTACTGCTGAGAAAAATGTGTACATAATCCATGAAAACCCTAATTGCCCTGAATCCTTCAAAATCCTCTTTGCCAAAGTGGAGAAATTTGGAGGATTGAGGTTACATGCTAAAGTGCGTTACTGATGTCGTAGGATGCACTTTGTCAAGGTGTTGGGCCGGACCTTGTGTTGTTTTTGCTCAGCCATGCATAAATATAGGCCTTGATTATGCTTGAATTCCTCCGTACTGCTCCAGGATGTCACTGGCCAAGCCTCAACATATTGACAGTCACTGCCGCAGGATTTTGCAGGATTCAGGCAGTGGTTACCCCTCCACGGACCATAATATTCAAGAAATAATGAAGGAATTTGCATGATTGAGGCGATATGCTATTTGTCCATGAGGCCAATTGGAGGATTTTGCAGGATTGAGGCTACATCCCAGCTAAAAAGGCCGAGGGAGTTACATGTAGGGTTAAATTAATGTTTGATATCCACTGAGACGAGATTTGTTGAAACTCAAAACCAAAGCAGTTGACATGTTATGAATAGATTACACCTTATGTATGTCTTTGACCAGTCTTAAATTTGCTCTCCAAAAGTATGCATCATAAGATATCGGCCCCTTGTGTGAGCTAGAGGTAGGGCCACAGCTAGAATGAATTAGGGTATTTCCCTAACCCAAGGTGTCACGACTCTGCCAACCCTCCCCCCTCGGGTGTAAAGCAATACATTAATGTCAGCTAGATGAGCACCTACTCATAACAGCAAACGGGAGGTTCCTCTCCAGAGAGCCTGTGAAGTTCAGATCCCAAGGTACTGGGGGTGGAATCTACTCCTATCCAAACAAGGTCAAGGCTTGTCCTGGAAATCAAATTACGCCTTGTACTTTGGCTCACCTTGGAAAAAGTTTTCCCCCATGTTGGGCCCTGGGCGAGCAGAAAAAGTGCAATTTACACTGTACTTATTTTTTCAGGTGTAAACTGCAAAAAAAAAAAGGGGGGGGGGAGGTTTCATTGTTGGGTTTTGAGCAATTCTGATCCAGATGCTGTCAAATCTTGCAAGATGACAACCTGTCTATTGTGGCCAGATGTGTGATGCTATTGTAACGTGCCCATTGTGCCTTTTGTGGTAACCAGCTCTTTGAGGCCATATGTTCTTGAGGCCATGTGACCTTGTGTCCATTGTGGCCACTAGGTCATAGTGGCCACCTTACAAATGAAGACTAATTTGGCGACAGCCATTTTCTGCTGTGGCACCAGGCCCTCGCGGGAGTTGTACTCAAGTAGAACGCATGCACTTCGGGATCTTTCGAACAAGAGGGTTACCAAGAGGCACGTGCGCCTCGTCTTTAAGAATGCGTGCGTCATGTGTGTGAGCGTGACACCACCACAAAAATGGCTTGTAATTTTGTTCGGCGAATTCCAGTATTGCTTCTCTCTCCTGCTCATTCCATGCCTACATAATTGTGGCCACTTGAAGGTACAGGTAATGCACACCATTTGCAAAAAATGTGTTTGTGGAGATTCAACAAACAACAATATAATAAATCTGAAGCAGGTTATTTAAAAAATAACCTGTCAAAATTTCAGCTCAGTAGATATGCTTTTTTAGAAAACTGCAAATATGCATAGTATCTTCATTTTTCTCTTCACAGAGCACAGGTTTCCATTGAAAGATATGGTTAAAGATGGTAATTCCCCTTTTCTCAGAAATGACAGCATACAACTTACAAGGTGCAATGATTTCACAGCATGACCCTATTATTTACCGTATTACAGTCAACTATGATATTTCATGATATTTTGACAGTTTCATGTTTTAATGTTTTCAAATCGTGTCTACTACCTTTAATTAATGTTGTCCAGTGTTTGCTGTGGCCCCTTCTTTGGCCTTTTCCTCTAGCATCTCTAGTGTTGTAAATAAACGTTGAATATGAACAGTACACTTGATGTCAAAATAATCATTTTTTTATTCAGAACATTTGTTATCATTAGTCCATCAGGATAAACAAAAAATGTAATTTCTCATTTACTTTTTTGGTGTGTGCCCAGATTTCCTCCATTTCTGAGTCCATCGCCGAATGTCCTCGACTCAAAGTCCTGCGGTTAGAAGAAAACTGCCTCCAAGTTTCCGTTCTCACACCCAAGATCTTAGAGGACTCCAGCATATCCCTACTAGCAACAGAGGGCAATCTCATTGATATGAAACAACTCCACGATACACCTGGGTACGAAAAGGTAAGTTGGACATTCTTTCTCCTTGCAATCACTTCACTTGAACTCCTCAACATTTCGTTATTTATGCAAGTGGAACTTGACATTCAGAATTTTGAATAAAGCTCAAAATCCAGTGATGGTGTATTAAAGGGTTCATGCAACGATTTTCTCTTAGGAAGATATTTTGTCCAACTTTCTTCTCTTCTTAAATGTATGAAAACTATGTGACATCCCTTTTTGGTTAATTTTATTGAAAAGTGCACTTCTTTGAACATTTAAAATTGTCCATGCTTTTCATGACAACGGAGGGTGCTATTGCTGTGATGTCATTTCGGGAAGACACTGTTCAGTTCAGGGGTTTTCTGTTCAAAGTGTGACCCGAACATTTGCTAATTAAAACCATTTGTGAGAAAAGTTTGCTCATTGGCTTACTGCCGTGTACTGACACAACAACGAATCACCAAAGAAAAGAAGGTTTACAACAGCAAAATATCCCAAATTCTGGCAACTTTTTGCGCTGAAAAAGCTGTAACATTGAGGTTTCTGCCTGAAATGACATCATACTTTTGCTCATGGATATGGAAATTTGTATTTGCAAAAAGCCAAAAAAGGCAACAAAATACCCTTGAAAATGGCAAAAACAAAATTGAAAATGAGGTTAAATGGGACACAAAGGTGCAATTGCCAGGATTGCACTTAAAGGGAATATACAACATTTGCAAACATCGAAAAATAAAACTATCAAGTTTTTGGGAAATACCTTAACAGGATGTTGGTAAATGACAGTCTAAAGCATCCTGTAAAATTATGGCACCTGGTATACTGTCATTTTCAAGAAAAGTGGTATTTTTGTATCAATTTCCAAAGCTGATCGGCCGATCAGCGTTGGAAACAACTGGCTTTTTTTCAAATACTGGCCCCAATTGACCATTGCACTTGTTTGCAATCGATTACAAACCTATGAACGGATACGAGCCAGCTAGACTGGTTCCCTGACCTTACAATTCCCCAATGTATGTAAACTGCTCTGTTTCTTCTTATATGGAGTCAGGGAACCAGACTACAGGAAAATGATCGTTTTTCTTGGTTTTTATAGCATTTTCGAACCCAAAACCTCAAAAAAGTCAGTGTAACTATATTTGCTTTATATTTCCAACCCCCCAATTCCATCCATTTCTGAAAATTACAGCAAAAGCAAATGATGTATATTCCCTTTAATAATTACATGGCATGGGCCCTTTAATAATAAGCCCACTGATGTGTTATACTTTTGAAATGATTATGTTACTCTACTGAGTAGTTAACTAAAGTGTTGCTTTAGACCTGATTTCCTTCCTGTCTTTTGTTTTCTGTAATGTTCTGTGTTTGACGGGAAAAAATAAACTGTTGCCAGTGAATACTTTCACTTCTCCTTTCAATAACACCTGTTTGAAGTCAATCTAAACTGTCCTGTTGTTGAAATTATTGATAATGTATGAAGAGGAAGCATTTGTGAAGAAGTTAGAACTGAGTCAACTGACACAAAATGATGTCATTTTTATGACTTTCCAAGTTACGTCTCTGTAAATCTAAACAAATAAACAGATGGTAGTGAACACTTTTAGTTCAGTTTTCAATAACACCTATGTGAATTCATAATAAATCGTCCTGTCATGGAACTTATTAATAGTGTATGAAGAGGAAGCATTTGTGAAGAAATCGTAGTTAGAACTGACACAAAATGACGTCATTGTTATGACTTTCCAAGTTTTGTCTCTTTATTATCTTAATGTATTATTATTATTATTATAAATAAAAAAATACCTGAGTTAGTTTACCCATTCCTATTTGTCGAGAGCCAGTCACGTGGGTGGTTTTAAACCGCCGATAAAACGCCGCTGTGTCGGCGCCACATTGCGCAGTGCGCGCCAATTTCCAAATGAGCACTACACACACCATTATCCAGGCCATTATCGGGGTCAAGGTCCCTAGCCGGTTTTAAACGTATTTGTTTAAAACTAGCCAAGCACATATTTATTCCTTTAACAAAAGTTTCTCTTGCAATTCTTGTTTCAGAATTGTGATTTGAAATCTCTTGTCCTTTTACCCCCCCCCCCCCTCCATTAGCTCTAGATAATGTTGTGTTTTTCTTTTCATTAGCAATACAAAGTCAAGTGCTTATATTATACTATGTGGGCAATTCCATCATTATGACAGGAAGTATAATATATCCGTGACAGGGCCAATTCTTCATGATATTTAATTGATTCCAAGAAATGATCCAAAACTCCTAGTCTGTAATCTCCTTGACCATTACGATGATGGATGTATAAGAATTGAAAACTACATTTTCAGGTTTATTCAATGACCTCTAAAAAGCTCTATTGTTGGAATTGCCGATATACTTATAATACATGTATATAATGTACTTCAAGGGAAACATAATATTGATCCAATTTATCCCCCCCCCTTTTTTTTAGTACATGGAGCGGTACACCGCAGCTAAGAAAAAGCTGTTTTGATGTGACATCAGCTTTAAGGCTCGCTTTTTCCAACGTTTTTGCCATCGTTGGGGATTCGGTTCTGTTACTGTGATAAGCATCCAACAATCAAACACCAAACTGAAATCATGAAAACTGCATGTAGATTCATGCCTTGGAAGTTCTTATTGTGACGGAGCTGTTGAGAAGTTTTGCCGGTGCCGTGAAAAGAAGCGGAAAAATATGAACTGTCTGTGCTGTTGGATTGCAAACTGTAGTGGTTGAGAATTAAATATGTACTCTCCTGTGTTTGGTCCACTATGGTTGGACTTTTATGCACTTCACGAAACATCTATCAAACAAGAGAGGGCATCATGGAGCATCATTCTCCTGTGGGAAGGACACTTGCACTTCATTGCTTCAAGCACATTGATTTTCAAATCCACTACAAGTAATCATGGAGGAGGGAACCAGTCTTCAGAAGGAGAGTATATACTGAATGTACCAGTATTAGGCCATGTCTGTATCAGATGGCGAATGGTACTAGTGGCCGATCCCATCGAATACGACGATGTAGCTCGGTGTCTAGCTGCACGATGATCCTCACAAGCAGCTATATACATGTATGGAGCAGAGGAGGCAGAGCCACTGATCTCTATATAAAGACTGGATAGCTAATAAAGAGCCGCACAATGAACGAATTTGACGCCATATTGGTGAGACCGGCTGGTGATCTACAAAGGACAAGTTGCCGTCTTTATAGACAGCATGATTTCTTATGTAACGTCGCGGTTCACTTGACTTATATTTTGACCACCACCACTGACCAAGGTTAACTACAATTTTTTAACGTCGTGGTTACTATAATGCCGCAAATATCACTTTTTCGGCATTTTGAAATAATAATTACTACGGAAATGTGTCCCTTTTAGAACATCATAATATGTGTACGTGACCAAAATGCGCGTCAACTGTTGATACAACGCGCGCGTATTTACGCGTAGAACGTTCGTATATACGCGGCCATCTTCGTGAGACCGGGGGCGAATTGGTCAATATGCAAAGTCTACTGTGTGAATGTTGTATGCATATCCGCTATCCAGTCTTTATATAGAGATCAGTGGGCAGAGCAGCCCAGATGGACAGCAGATCACCCACGAGCGTGCTCCTGCACTACGGTTGTCTAAATTTAAAACCTCACACCCGTGTCCACGTCTTGACCATGGCGGCATGGGGTATTGAATCATCCCACCAATTTTTTTGTGATGAGAAACATAAAATGCGGATTTCGAGGTATTTTTCGAACAACAAAATGTATTCAATAGCACCGAAAAGTAGACAAAGCACCAAAGCTTTTAGAATGCGCCGTTTTGATGTAAGCGTGAGTGAACATATTGATATACATCTATATCCTGAAGCGCCAGTTTGTAATGTTCGGATCTCCTTTCCCACGGTTGTATTATAAATCTCAAACACCTGTATAAAGTTTAGTGGAACATTTCTTGTGTACATTTTTGATCTGTATCACTGAGATCTTAGCATGCAGGCTTCATTCAATGTGTTATCTTTGCAATTAATGTTAACACAATGCAAAGAATACGTTACGGTGTTTGAAATGTCACAAAAAACTCAATTCCTTTTCATGTCCAAATATTTTTCCCTGTGAGTATTAATCAATCCACCTCGAAAGGAGGGAAGTCTTTAAATAATGCATGAGTAAATTTATTTTAAAAATGCATGACTTTACATATATTTTATCGTGCATAAAATTATCTAATAAATGGATGTACCAGAAATATATTATTAAATATTTTCGGCATTTTTCTTAAGCTCAATTTTCATCGACTACCATACGTGATTCTTTACAATGTGGACAATGGATGTTTGCAAGTAATAATTGTTTTGTCCCAATTCTGCCAGGTCATAAACCAAATGCCTATTTAGTAAGGCCAAAAAAAAAAGTCTCCGGTTTCTGGTATGCGCGCGCGTCGCCGTAGCCATGCGCTTCGGCAAAATGAAACAGTTTTTTTTTCAATGAAAGATGATGTCTCAAAACCGCCAAACTCACTGGTTTGACTGGAATCCTGCTGCTGCACAATTTTAACGTGTTTTTAGATTGGGTTATGGTCGAGAATAAGCTTTATGTGGCCTCTCTAGACTCCCATGTATTTGCACTAAGTTTAGTCGTGCACCATTTGTAGTCATCAGCCGACATTTGAAGCAAAAAAATCAGGTAAAAAAAAAAAAATAGACGCCTCGCCGCACCACTTTTTGGGCAAGCTCCATATCAGAACCCGGAGACTTTTTTTTTTGGCCTAAAGTAATTAACATGTATTTATATTAATAACCCCTCTGTGGCATAAAGCAGTGTAATTGTATCACAGTATTACTGATAGCAACATAATAGACTTATGCTGGACATCTTCTCTTTACTTTATTTGAGTACAAGTACGTGTAGTTCAAAAACAGATCTGTTGCAACATGGTTCAAGCAGTGGTGGATCTTGAACCAAAAAGGGTTTTTGGCTGCAGATATTTTCTGCCTTTTGTAGCCCATTCTTTTGTCTCCAAGAGCCATAAGCCTAATTCAGAAGACTTGAGTAGCAATCTTGAGTATGTGGGTTTAGCATAGGTTTAGCAGCTTGAGTTAGACTTGAGTCTGAGTTTAGCACTCAAGAAACAGTTTAGTACTCATGAAACACATTAGCACTGTGGTGTTGAAACACTGGATGCTCACCGACAATGCATGTCAGTGATGTTCATGCATTCCAAATTCAGAAGTTAGGTCTTTCAAAATTCTGTAAATGTACAACTTTTTGTTCGTCCAACTTCATGTGAATCTTGGCTTGAGTGTAGTAACTTGTAAGAGTGACAAAAAAATCAGTGGCTATTAACCAGTTCACGTCGGATGACGTGTATGCACGCAAAGGTTTTGCGGTAATCGGAACGGATGATGGATAAACACGTAACAAGCGAGGCTGGAAATATCCGTCTGCGACCCGCTTCCAGCAAGCAAGGCTGGAAATATCAGGGTGTGCTACATGAACCCACAGATGATGGCCTGAACCCGTCTGGCATTGAGGTTCGTGAAAACAATCCCGCGCCTGGGTCCGGTCATGTCAAAATAATCCCGGCGCGAACTGGTTAAAAACAAGCCTTACAAATGATTTGGGCCACCGAATTGTATGAAATACATTATCTCTAAGTAATTGTTCATGAACAGAACAACATACACACCTATATTCTCAGACTCGACCTACTCACAAATTGAAAAATCCTACTTGTGTTATGCCAGAACTAATTATGAATTGTAATTACATGTATGACTTGTTTTGTACATGACTTAAAAGAAGCTTGTGCCACAGATACACTTTTGTGGGGATGTTTTTCAGCTTGTCTGGTTTTGAACAAAATTTGATTACACGTGTAATAGTTATCCCGCGAGCACATGTGGAACACGGAAAAATGTAGTGCTTCTGTGTCCCACATACCACGAGGCAGATGGGCCGAGTCCGAGTGGTACAAATGTATGTGGGGCGTAGACGCACTACATTTTCAGTGTTCCACGAGCGCAAGTGGGACAACAAATTTATCTTCAAGCAAACTTGACGCGCAGTAAAGATGGAACACGCACGCTGTACACAAAGTTTTCAGCGATTATCCAATTACACGTGCTTGTTGTACAGAATGGCACACATATCTTAGAAAAGCGCAATACGTGGAGTGCTGTATGGACCGTGGCCGTGCTACATGTCATGGCTATCTGTATTACGGCTTGTTGCCATGGATCGACCAATCAGGATCGAGGATTCAAGTTTACTTGAAGATAATCAGTATTGTAATCAATGTATTATATTCAGCATTCAATAATTGTGCCAAGTGCAAGATAAATTTAATAAATTATATATATTGATATGTGTCATATGTGTCTGTGTTTCCTTATCATTGCTTTGTGTCTTTGACCCCTTGACCTAGATAGTTAAGAAGGGAATAAACTCTAAAAAGAGTTTTGAATTAAGACAAGTATATTTTGCCAGCAAACAATGTGCTTCAAACACCTGCAAAAGTATTGAAATGTTTGAAGTGACAATTCTTTAGAAGTAGCACCAACATTGGTTAATATGTAAAAAAAAATCATAGTCGAGTCCTGGTCTGAGTCTTTAGTCCCTTGGTTCAGTCTGAGTCTCGAGTCATTTGGTTCAAGTCCAAGTCATGAGTCATTTGATCCAAGCCTGAGTCACATTTGTACAAAATAGATGTGCATGGACATGGACACACATTTACCGATGTAAGTGATGCATTGTCACGAAAGTGATGTAGTGATAAAAGTAAAAGTAACCTTCCAAGGTGGTCTGTTGAGCAATGTACATGTACATGTATTTCCTGAGCCTAGCAAAATAGAGCACTCAACCAATCACTACACATGTACAAGAGGCTAGTTTTACTGTACATATGCCTATACCACAGGTTAAAGAAGTCAAAATTTGTTTCATAACAGCTAACCCAAAGATAATACAATGTTCTAGAGATGTGCAATTAATGTATTTTTTTTCTCAACTTCAAATTTGTTGACAATTCCCTTGGCACTTTTCCTAAATGTTTTGCTCTCATCTGTGTTGTGTGTCTGAAACATAGAGCTCATCAGGTTGCTTGTGGTTTAAAACTTTGACGATTGTCCCTAAGGCCCCCCCAAAAAAGTCTCCGGTTTCTGGTACCGGTATGCGCGCGCGTTGCCGTAGCCATGCCCGTCGGCAAAATGAAAACTTTTTTTTTTCAATGAAAGATGATGGCTCAAAACCGCCAAACTCACTGGTTTGACTGGAATCCTGCTGCTGCACAATTTTAACGTGTTTTTAGATTGGGTTATGGTCGAGAATAAGCTTTATGTGGCCTCTCTGGACTCCCATATATTTGCACTAAGTTTAGTCGGGCACCATTTGCAGTCATCAGCCGACATTTGAAGCAAAAAAATCAGCCGCGTCGCCGCACCACTTTTTGGGCAAGCTCCATACCAGAAACCGGAGACTTTTTTTTTTGGCCTAACATACTCTCAGTACTGTACTAGTGTAGTAGTGTAGTCTTTTTAAAGACTTCAGGATGAATAAGTATACACATTGCATATTCGACCAATATAGAGAGACTATGGGTATTAAAGGTGTTGTAGAGTACTTTAAGACTTCAAAGCTTTGAAACTTAAAGAAAAGGAAACCTTTCTTGACTCCCAGAAAGAGAAGACGGCATTCCTAATGCTAGGATTACAGAAGCTTTCCTCTTGATCTGATACATTTATCAACTGTTGCTTGCGGTCATTTCCGGAGAGTAATTTAATTTTTTGTCACATTTTGTGAGTGCCTAGCTAATGTGGGCCGCCGTGTGTGGAATTAGTCACGTTCTGCTACACTTCGGTGGTGTTACATTATGTTATTTCCCCCCAGTGGTCTTGGCCCATATCTTTGATCAGTTAACCTACAAAAAAAGTTCCACTTGACAATCTGGGTCAGATTGTTGTGGGGGGGAGGGGGAGAGGAGTTTTTCCAATTAATCTAAGGTCTGCCCTTTCCATCAGATTCATCATGGGATGTTTGTCTTAGCCGTGCCGTGTGCAGTCTGTCTTCCGCTGTGCTCCCATAAATCAACCATTGCCTAAATTAAAGTTGTGAGATATTTTCGTGTAAAATTCTAAAATTTTAAGACCGTGACCATGATTGGACTAGCAGTTCACATGAAGCCTTCCACAC